TAATAAAAATTAAGTATGTATAACAAAAATCCTACCTAATAAAAATTGGTAATTAAGATTGCATTGAGAAGATGGGTCGTTTCTCCTAATTATAATATTTATTGATCGCTTTAGGGACTAATTCATTTGTTATTTCGATATTGTTATTGTGTTTACTTATTCTCGTGAACAAGAATACATCTATGGCTAAACTGTTACAATTTCTGTAGCTTGTTGTTATTTTTAGCCTCGTTTTAACAGTTTTAACTCAACCGCCTCTGAAAATCTGCCAAGCAGGAATTAAAATTTCATTGGTTGATTGTGTAAACGACTTTTTGAACGAGAGTTAATGATTGGTCCGGAACGTTGGTGAGGTGAGGGTTACATTAAATTTAATAGAAAACCCGCTAAAACGAAGACGTGAACCGTAGTGGCGCAGCTAATTCCGAATACTCAGCTGTCCGATACTCGACAAAATCACTATCCGGTGCATCTCTATTTAATATTGATTATTTTCTATACTATTTATTTATCAAACACAGAAATCTAAATTAACTGATTTATCCTAGAGATAATAATCAATTGTTCTGATGAATGTGTTCTTCAAGGAAAATTGTATGGCTATTTACTAGAGGTGGATTTATGTAATGAAATGATTCTGATAATCGATGAGTCGTCATGATAATGAATTGATTAGTTACGGCGTGAAATCGTTAGAAACAAATCCCCATTCGCAATTATAATAGTAAGTTTTTGACAGTAAAACGAATCAAACTAATCTATAAATATATATTCCTTATCTTTCACGTCTATCCATTCCAATATGCACCAGCAGTAAAAGCGAATGAGTCAATATATACAAAATGGAGAGACTCGAGACGCGGTATGTTGCAATTCAGAGATGTTCGTCGCTCTAACTCCACTAAAAAAGTAACGGACTCATCATTCGTCAATCGGTTGATAAAACGGTAAATTATTCGGATGATTTAGTTCCTACTCGAAATACTTTGAATAATTGCAATAATCAAATGATCGACCATTCTTCATACAAATAATGCCATCTCTAAGTGTTATTTACTTTTGAAATAAATGCGTTAATGTAATACATAATCTCCAAAAAAATTCTAAAAAATAAAAATCGAAATTGTCTTTACTTATTTTTAATATTTTAGATCAAATTAAATGTATACTATTTATTTATAAGTGTTGGAGTACCTACAATAAATATATGCTTTTGAAATTATTATATTCAACAGTTCATATCTGAAGATTTGGAACTTTTTTTCCCATTTTATCTTCATTTTTGTTGCCAAGTGCAGTCGCATTCTACGTAATGTAATTTCCTGTTGGGATTATAGACTGCAATAGATAGGACTATTGAGAATTCTGAGGTCCTACATATATACCGGCATATATCGGCTGCGGACGCTCTATATAAGATTTATTGACTAAGCGTTTTTACTGAAACTATCTAGGATTCCATGCGAACGACGGATTTATAAATCAAAATTATCCATTTACTCTGGAAAATTACAGGGAAAATCAATAAATACATATAAGCGCATTTATACCAAAGGTACTAGATCAATAAATGTGTTTTATTAACACTTAAATGATTTTGGATGAATTTAAAAGCTATTTTTCCATTCAAAAGCTTTTAATATTCCATTGACAATTGGACATTCATTAACTATTTCTCAGTTGGATTGAAAGTTTACCTCAAGAATGGAAATTCGTTACTTCAATTGGGTTTGAGAAAAATAAAGTTACCAAACAGTTTGTTTGATGAAACACTAGATTACTGAAATGGTAAGAGTCAATGTAAACCAACCCAGGTTTCTGAAGAAGTGCAGGCGGTTGACATCATTCCCTACCTACCTTGAAAATTTAAAATGGAGCGGCATTGTATTCAAAAGCAAACTACGAAAAACATTTGAATGGAGAAATTGTTTTTAAATTCTTTAGTTATATAATATTCCAGTGATAGTTGGACAACTATTTAAGTTATTTTTGTCTTTCTCTTTGTGAAAAATCGAGGAATAGTAAAATTTAGGACTTGACGTGCAAGCAAAAGTCATTCTAGAAAATATTAGATTATGGTTTGGTTAAGTTACGTTAGCTTCCTTTTTAATATTCCATTTTTCACTTTTATCGCATATGCTTTTATTCCTCCAAAGTTCGAAGAGAAAGCTTTGGTCATATACCAGTTGTGCATTCCTGGATTTGGTATCTGCTTCTGAATTGACATAATTATATATTTATGGAAGGCTTGTATGCTATCGTTTTAAGGTTTTGAGGAGAAAGAATTCAATGTTGGACCTAATCGCTGTTAGCTCTAGTTGATATTTTAAGAATTTGTGAAATTAGCATTGTTGCTTATGTGAGTACCTACAAACAGAAACTATTTAGTACCTAGAGAACGTGTGAAAAGGTACAGACAAACCATAATGTTATATAATTCTTCTAACCACTACAACAAAATGAAAAGCTTGGGTAAGAGATAATGTTGTATAGATCTAAAGTGACGAAAAAAGAAAATACAACGTTTAATTATACAACACACTACTGAAGTGAAACTTCTTCAAACACACAAACATACCGGGATAGGGGTTAAGGAATTGGTTTAATGGTATTATTTGTACACTATGCTTCGCACGGGTGTAATACTCATAGTAAATATATACTATAGAATGTCTTTATATACAACAATCACAGCTTTCTTGTCATTAGACAATACAAACCGGCCGGTACCGCTGCAACCCCTATGTCCCTGCATTTTATGTCTGTAATATCTTCGAAAATATTCATTTAAATTACATGTTGTAACGAGCCATATTGATCTATATTAAATGCACAATGTATTTAAAAGCATTCAATTGGATAAGGATTAATACTATATTGCTTAAAATCGCTTCGCAAATAAGCCATTATTTCTCGTAAAAAGTAAAAGATAAAAAATGGTTATTGTGACTTACCTCTAAGAGATAGACATATACCATCCCGGACTTTTTTGTAGACCTTTTTAAGGTATACAATATTGTAGTACATTATTTTGTTCTATCTCCTAGGGTTACGCCAGCGTTTGCAATGTAATCGCAAAATAATGTCTTTATTTACGACATCACATTAGAAACCTCTAAAATTATCAGTGTTTCTCTACTACATTATGCATGTATTATACATATAAACCTTCCTCTTGAATCTAAGCATACATAGAGACAGGCAGCTGCGGAAATGCGTTGCATAATTCGTTACATAGCAACTCGCATGAAACGAACTTACCTTACCGTGCGTAAAGAAGTTTCACTTCAAAAACAGAGATTTGGTAAATTTAAAGACATTAGTAATCAACTCGTATGTTTAGATAATGTTGATATAAACTAATGTAAGGAGTTTTGAAATTATTGTAATTCCTAAAGCACCTACACGCTGAATATTTATAAAAATTCACGTAGGATATTTCCGTAGGATGTTCCGACAGCAAATACTTTTGGTGAAGTGAAAATTATTGAGCTAAAGTACGCTTTAATTTATTGTAAATTATGCATAAATTTTGCAGTAAAGTTGCAGAAATTAATTTTCCAAATAGCCGAAAGTTAAAGTCGATTGCACGAACTAAAACGGAATTAGGCATCCTTCCTTATTCCGCACTAGAAGCGGCGTCGTGTGCAAACTCCTGCAGGCAGGCAGTAGTTTAGTCGTAAATTATTCCAGCATTTACGTTGATAAGATATAGTTAAGATTATAAATCAGCCAAAGTTCCTGTCTGGGGCCATAAATATTCCTTAAGGACCTTCCTGATGACGCCAAGAAGAGAAATAATTTTTGTCCCAAGAGAATAATTCGTCGCACTCTGTATAAACCGGTTAAGATCTCCAAGGTATTTAATAACGAAATCCGATATTTGGTTTAGATATGATTTTAAAGTAATAATTCTATTTTCTTATATATATATGTATATACAATATTAATTCAAACAGAACTTGTTAGTCTCGTAATGTGCTTGCTAGATGATGTGCAAGAAGTCTGAAAGACGTCATTTAAGGGCTGCGCAGCCACTTAACAATTACTAATGCCTTGACGATTTATCATAACTTCTCATCCGTATGTCACAGAGTTATTACAGTTACTACAGTCGTAGATCTATTACCCTTAATGCGAAAAACTCATTAATGTGCACATTAACAAATTATTCTGCAGATAAAGAACATTAAGTTCAGGGTCGGCAATATTTCGAAACCATTAGATATGAACTTATTAACTCTACCATGGGTGCATAACTATCACTTTACTTAGATTAGTTCGTCTTTACGATTTATTACCTCGAATTCAATTTTCCGAACTCCAAAATTTCATCAAGGTATAAGGAATTATTGTAAAAATTACCTGCATCAATACTATTTCAGTTGATCTACTTTTTGTGTAAATAAAATAACTTATTTCTTTTATATGCAAATTGAAGGCGCACCTATGTATGGATTGCTTTTTAATTAGGACTCAACAATGCGCTACAATGTATTTGAGTCAAAATAGAAAGAGATAGGACTAAAAACTATAAAGACGTGTAATGTACGACATCAAGAAAATTGAACTGTCGCATAGTAATCACTTAATGTAACTCACTGACAGTACATAAGTTACGTTTTCAAAAATATGAATAGGCTTTTCTGTTCTTTTTGAAGTAATAGTTCTTCTGATGCGTTTAGAGCAAAAATGTAGAAAGTGCAGTATGCAACGGAAGTTGCAGGTGCACAGCTGACGAATATCTGAAAGTATTAATTACTCGCGTGATTGCGAATTAGCGAGCACGTGGTTAGATTGATCTCGAGATTGGAATTAGTGACGCTGGGTCGGCGGTCGCCACTAATCGTTTAGTTCGAGTTCGCACTCTGACACGGACAATAACACTGCAAAATGATACTATTTAAATACGTAAATGAAATCGTTATTTCAATAAACACATAATTATTATTTAGTATACTACCGCGTGTACATGAGTAGAAGTACCATTTCTTTTTTTAATTAAATCAGGGGGGCTTAAGAAGAGAATTAAAGAAGAAATTTCGAACTCTATATGAACGAATGCACAAGCGACATGCAATTGTAAATAAAAAATCACCAAAGGTGATCTTCACTTGTTACTGGTCATTATTGTGGTTTCATTAGCAAGTCAATCTTACTATTACTCAAATTACTAGAAGAATATAATTACAGCAAAATATTTTCCTAACATAATTTTTGTTTCAGAAACACAACCAACTGTGAACAGTTGATTATACAACACCAATTCTTCAGAGGCCAAGATGAATCTCAAGCTTCAACTTTAGGTGAGAATTTATATTCTTATTGACTTACCTATCTACTATATACAGCTGTTGTCTTTTTGTCATCAACTCTGAAACGAAGCTCAAACTTTTTTTGAATTCGTTGTGTCTCTGTTTTTCTATTTTAAGAAAAGTTTGCCTTTGCTTGACATTGTATCACCCTTTTCTGTACAGGTGGTTATGGAAGCACTTTTTGGTCCCTTTTCGGCGACTACAACACCTGTTTTGTTATAGATGTGAAACACTGATGTTTAATAGTGGTTAATATCAAATATTAATGTGAAAATTCATTTTCAATTATTTTACCCACTGTATACAACCTCAAGTTAATGAGGGAAAATTTGTTGCTGTTGTCACACTCTCGCCGAGAATTGAACCCGGGACCTTTGGCTTTACGCACCAATGCTCTGACTAGCTACTGAGAGGCACACTTGTAATTGTTTTGAAGTTATTAGAAAATTACGCCAAGCGTTATAGATCCGCATCTAGGTGTATTTTAATTCCGTATTTAGAAGGCTTTGACAGAATGTATTATATAGAACGGCAATTACCACGAAAAACCTCAAGGTTTTCGTCAATAATTATGTTTTGACTAAGAAAAAATTTTTTAAACATTGAAAAACGTTCACGAATTAGAGTAAGACTAACACTCTGTGCGATTATTTTAATCGTTAAATTACAGTCACAAAATACTGATGTATTATGCTTATCTGAATGGTAGGTATAATATGTACACTATCCACGTCCCTACTAGAGTTACAATCTAGATATTTAGGCGGGGAGACAGAAGCAGGACAATCCTTCTGATGTTGTTAAAAGGCAGGTGGTGTCAATACACATAACACAGGAAGGAATGTCAGTGATGATAACTTATTAACAGGTATTAATTGAGCTAGTATCATACTAAAAAAAATAACATGGAACTTCCGGCTGAATTCGTAGCAATCAATAGAAGGCCAGAAAGAAGTACTTCATTTAGCTTTTCAAACGACGCCACCATAGTGTCATATCTTCTAGTCTGCATTATGACGATTCTTTGCAACAGCTACCTTCCTAACCTCAAAATAGTTATATATGAAAAAAATAGCTTCATTCCGAAATTCACTTCTTTCATATCTATTACAATCATACCAGCTTCTAGTTTACTTTTCCTCTAATACACCTATACAATACAGTTAGTTTTCATTGGAAAGTAATGGAAAAAGATCTTTACTGAGTATACCATAAGATATTATGACCTTTTACTAACGTTTGTTTTATTTCACAAGAGGTCAAAATTTTAAGGACTCCACTATAAAAAAAAAATATTTATTTAACGAGTTTTGAACAATTTTTCCAGTAACACACGCGCACTATTTTCATGCAAATTTGCCCTCATTCAAGTTACAATTCTAAGTTCTGTTACCAGGTGGTGTATGTCCATTTGATGGTTTCCGAAATCCCGGTTGTGAGCATTGAATTTGTATTTTTAACTGTTATTATAGGTTAGTGTATTTCCAAATCCGATTACATGTAATTAGGTGAAAATTGAAATTTCAATTTTGAATATAATTTATAACTAGGTAGGAAAATCGGGTATTGCTGTACCCCAAGAAATCCATAGCCTTTCCTCTCCCTGTATCTGGGTATGTCTTTAATTTGCTTAATAGAGCTGGCGTTCTGTATCATATGGGTCTCTTAGTCTGATAAGCGATTGCCTATTTGTTTATTTCTTTTATTTTTTATAAGCAATACCTATGTTATTCATATTTAGTGGCTGACGAATATGACCAATCTAAGCTATTAATTTTATGACTACTCTGATGGAAATACTTTTACTATTCTATTGCGTGCTTCTCTTGCATATAACACTTACGTATACATTGTGGAGTACTTACAGATATAATGTCATGCCAGAGTAGCCATGTTATCTGTAATCATTGTTTACAATATGTATATTTAATGCCGCAATTTTAAAGAGCAGACGTTTTCTACTGATCTTTAACTTCGCATGCTTATCACAATTAAATTTTCTGCCTTAGATACTTGTTTTATTTTAGTGATGATGGTAGTGGATTCACACAATACAAATTGTTCCTTTGAAATTTATGAAAACCTTTGTTTACGTAAATGTATATTACAAGTGCGTGTGTTTAAAGGATGAATATTTTCTGTTACTAAGTCGTTGAAGCAATAAAAACAAAGTGACTAACGTAGGAAAGATAGGAACATCAGATACTGCTAGAGGTTTTTATGTTCGTCTCCCACAAAAAAGAAATTGCAAAGTCAAACTTATTATTCTAGCAGACGGACGGGATGTTCCATAAAACCGACATAACGTCGCAGCAGAGACTAAATGGAACATATCATGTTAGAGGTCGCCCCTTGTCTCAATCCAACTATTTGTATTTCTTATCGATTACTATAAGAGATGCCGAAAAGGCAAAGAAGAAGATTGTTTTATAATTTATTCATCCACAGTTCCCTTAGTTTGTTTATTACATTATTTTTTACGTCAGTTTGAAAATGTATATTAGGACTGAAATGTTTGTTTTATTAACAAAAAACCTTTCAATATATTTATAGTAACAAATCTATATACATAAAAATGAATTGCTGTTCGTTAGTCTCGCTAAAACACGAGAACGGATGGACCGATTTGGCTAATTTTGGTCTTGAATTATTTGTGGAAGTTCAGAGAAGGTTTAAAAGGTGAATAAATATGAAAGTTGTTAACTATCTTTCAGATTATTTTTATGTAGATTGATAAATCTTAAGTTTTGTCACAAATTTTCTGAACGCAACCATAATATTTGACATTTGACAACCAAGTTTATTTTGTATAAAAGTTTAGATCTTTTATTTATCGATTGAGACAGTACGAAGTTTGCCAGGTCAGGTAGTTTGATTCATCTTTGCACTTAGTTTTTTATTCTAATTAACATTCTGCATAAACTGATATTAATTTATTAATACACCACATCAAAATTACATTTGAGATTCCAAAACATTACTTAACTTAAAATTATGATTAAATAAGGAAACCAATTTTTGATATAAAACTATGGAAACTAGTCGATCATTCGATTGTTGCAATCATTCAAGATATTTTGAGTGCATTTTAAATTAATGTAACAGAATTACAGAATTTACCGTGTACCGTTTCTATCATCACACTTGAAACATTGAAATTATTTAAGTGTGAATATGGCATAAAGAACAATTTAGTGGAGAAATTAATTGTGACAAACCAAAATTATTCTGTTTTATATAAATGCCAAATGCACGTGCTCAGGGTAAATTTTAAATGGGTTCATTTAGAGTAAACAGAAGAAAAATCATAATTTTATATTTGAAAATTTTAATACAGAAATATCGAACTCAAAAAAAAAAATAAAAAAAAAAATTATAAAATAGATAAATGTATCGCTCTGACCTGTTGGGGCATTTGCAGCCAAATCGTCTGTGTCTTCGATTGAAAACTTGATTTAGTCTCTTCGTTTCCAGAAATAATATTATATTTCTATTCTTGGGAACACAGCCACACGCTTGACTTAGAATCTTGCTTGTTGACATATTTTTTTAGAAAGAAAATGAACGCATTTGCTATTCATCAAAAACCACTAGTTTTATATTAACTCCAAAAATACGTCGACCGGTGACCTCAATTTCCACCAGTCTTCTTCCTTCTCGAACCTTCTTCACCGCTCAGTCACCCTGTTCATCCCTTCCAGTGCATTAACCCCCTCCAAATCCCACCACTAACGCTATCGTACAACAGATGCTCGAACACACTTGCTTCTATCGCGTAAAATCCACAATATTAATACACCAAAACCCTACAGATTGCTAATTTTGTAATATTTGACGGAAGATTTTTAATAACAATGAGAAAATCTTAGTTGATAAGCTTGGTATTGTTTCACATTTTATTTTGAAAAGTTATTACATGCGTATGTATTTTTTGGCTATAACGATGTCATATACATGTACCTATTTGGGTCTTACTGAACATGAAAAGATAATTTCTTCTAGGTAAATGAAAAAACGCAAATTGAATACAACATTTTAGTACTTAGTTGATGGAAAAGGAAAACCAGGTCAACTGTTTTCGCTATATAATCGTTTCACTGTATAATCTTCGAATCGGAGTGGCTTGACCTAGACCCTTAGAGGTTTACAGCATTCCTTAATATTCAGGAGGACACCGATTGGACTCCATATCCGTCTTTGGCTTCCTTGTGCGACCAGTAAGGGTCATTTTAACCCTTAACATTCCTATGTCTCCGAATGTAAAATATTCGACCCTGCTGCTTTCCATTATGAAATATGAAAGTTCGTTTTTAAAATTTTTAAACTAACCACGAATGGACCATTAAGTTTCACCCTTCGGACTCCTCGATATGTTCCATGTAAGTTTAATTCCTAAACTGTTTTGTAAAAATCGATCTACAGATTTTTAACGAACCACTGATAATAATTCTATTCGTTTAAATGCATTCGCTACAGATTTTAAAACTTAAAGGGACTACAGGAATTATAGACCGATACGGAAGATATTAACATGAAATACATTTTGTGGATGTTTTTTCGTTTCGCATCAGGTTTTCTATTCACATCAGTTTAATAAGGACAGCTGATGGGAGGCGTACACGTTGCCATTTTCTCTTGCGCTTCATGAAAATATACACATAATTTAGAGTTGTAAGAGAACCAGCAAATACAATTTTCCGCTTCCTGCCTCGCACAGCAATCGCTTAAATGTATTTTGCAGAATTTCTCTCCATAGCGTCGAGGACAAAGAACAGTACAACGCGCTGTTTCGACCCTTTGGAGTTGTTGGAACAAAGATTTTATCATCTATATATATATAGAGGAAAAAGCGCTAACAGGTTTTGTAGTTTAATCACATAATCGTTCATTTTCTTTTTTATTAACACGAAATTCAAACAGGTAAACTCGTAACGATAAAAGTGCGGAAATATAATTACGAGCTAGATGTAGGTACACAAACTTTATTTTCT